TTGCTACAGAGCAGGAAAGGAGATGAAAGGAGACTATTTTAGATTTTTAAAAATTTCGGTCGCTACCCGGATTCGAACCCGGGACCTTTGAATGAGAGGCCAACATCTTAACCTTTATGCCACGAGAGCCCCCTTCGCCGAGTTAGTCGCCGTGCAATGTATTAAGAAGGGGGGGGGGGGCAAAATGTGTGTGCTCATTCTTTCAACATATGTCATATGAACAGACGATGGATGCGTACTTCATGTATACATAAAAATAGTACCCTTGCTGTTGTGCTGGTGCAAGAAGAGGAGAAGAGGAGGAAGAGGAGGAGGAGAGGGACCTGTTGGATAGACCATGGCTCAGAAGAAGACCCGTGTATGGACAATTTGAGAAGCTGATGGCTAAACTGGAAGTTGAAGATGTGGTATCCTTCAGGAACTTGCTCAGAGTTTCTCCAGAGTTTTTCCTAGAACTACTGAAGAAAATTGGCCCCACAATCCACAAGGCAAACACTTTCTGGAGGCAGTAACTTGGACCTAGCATCAAGCTGGCTGTCACTCTTCGATACCTGGCAACAGGAAACAGTTACTGATCTCCAAAGTATGGCTTCAGGGTGGCCTACGACACTAGATCTGTCTGTAACCCCCCACCCTCCACCCCGAAGTCTGTCAGGCTATCATTGATGCATACTGTGATGAAGTCCTTGCTCTACCTACAACAACAGACCGGTGGATGGCCTTTGCAGAAAAATTTGAAACCAAGAGGAATCTACCACATTGCATTGGAGCTCTGGATGGGAAACATAATATGGCTATCAGATGTCCTTCTAACTCTTGGTCCCTTTACTCCAACTACAAAGGGTTCTACTCCATTGTCCTCTTGGCACTCGTAGATGTCAATTAAAAATTCATCTATGTCAATGTTGGTGCCACTGGAGCAGGATCTGGTTGTGGTGTTTTTGCAGAAAGTGATTTGAAAGAACGTCTGGAAAATAACAAAATTGGAGTGCCTCCTAAAGTATTTGCCTGATCGTCACACAGATGTGTCATACTTCGTTTTAGCAGATGAGGCTTTTCCACTGAGGACCTGGTTGATGAAGGGATGGAGCAGCAGCAGCAGAAGTATCCAGAAGGCTCATGAAGACCGACTGGACAGCAGGGCTTGGCACACATGAATAAGGATTAGGTGTATGCAGACTGGTATCTGCAGAAGGTGGAGCATCAGCAGCAGCAGCCCTTCGCGTAGGCTTCTTCGGAGGCTTAGTAACGTTAGAAGATGGTCGATTGGTAGATAATGACAGGGACAGTCTGTGTGCTGTGCGTTTACATGGTAGGGTCGCCAAGGTCGCTGTATCATGGCGCATGCTCGTCGTGTCAACTTTTGTACGCCGTGCTTGAGTAACTCACACTGACTCCCCGTGCAAGATGTTTACACGGCGAGCAATAATTTAACCTGCAGAGTATGAAAGTCAACTTGCCAACCATTCAGATCTCGTTGGCGTGTCACTGTCACTGGGCAACGTATGCAACTTTGCACACCTGGCAATTTCTAACACTCCCCGAGTCCTTCCCGGAGTTTCCCCGAGCGAATTATTGACTCGGGGACTAATTTTTGGCTCGGCGAAAATCTTAAGCATGCTTGAAAATTTTGGCAAACTTCCCGTATAATAAATTCTCTCGGCGGAGGGAGGTCAGTTGCTCGGCAAAATGTATCCAGAGTAGCCCCGACCTGCTGGACTTAGAAATTTAGTCTTACTCGGTTTCATTACTCCTGTATGTGTGGACACCGCATTAGAGAAACTATTTCTTTTCTCGACGACACACACATATCAAAGAAGAGTCCACGAGGACTGTAAATAGTCGTTTAAGTGTTAATTTTTGTGCAAAGATATCCATCACAAGTTGAGCCCCCCAGCATCCAAATTCACTGACTACATGCAGGAACCAGTAATCGTACCATTTTAGATAAATCAGTACCAACATTTTACTGCGTTTAGGTTTAGGGTTAGGGTTGAGTTCAGGTAAATGTTGGGGTAAGTATAGGTTTGCAGGTAGTGTAGGATTTTTGGCTAGTATGAATACATCTAAATTTCTTGATTTTTTACTACTCTTTGTAGTCGGCAAAGTGGCATCGCGACAAATCCTCAGGGAGGCCAAAGAGTCTACATAACAAGAGGGGCCACTTCTCTCTTTGAGCCAATTAAAAAAGTGTCCTCAAAATTCGGTAGCGCCCTCTTCGCAAAAGCGCACCTTTAGCGAACAGAGTTATCCTACTTGAGTTTTAAAAATCAAAGTGAAACTAGCAAGTTTTTGAATGAATTTCGGAAGAACGCTTTTTTAAAATGGTTACGCTGACAAAAAACCTCTTCCGGAGGAAAGGGTGATTGTTTTCTTCGTTCGTTTAATTTGACTTTAGAATGAAAGGCGAGAGGTCATTAAAATTAAAAAAAAACTAAAACTTCGTACTGAACGAACCTGAACTGCTGATGAACAGCAGTCGATCTGCGCACGCAAGGAGGTGCTATTCCTATTCTTCTTCTGGAGAAACGAAAGAGAGCTTCAAAACAGACTGCAGCGCCATCTGAAGCAAAGAGCATGCTTCCTGCGGACACTTTTTGGCTGAGTGGCCCATCTTGTTATTTACTATCTTTGGGGAGGCTCCCATTTTGACTGTCCGAATATGATCTTTCCCAAATTTACCCGGAGGCTCTTTGACTAGTCAGTTTTGACTGCTGCCTTTAACAGCGAACAACTGGATTTGACCGGTTTCTCCGACTATGCAAAGCAAAGCTTTATAGCGCAAATGAATCTCCAACGTATAATTACAAAGTTCCATCTGACATGTTAGAGTTACGACGACCTCAAAGTCAGAAACCAAATGTTGTGTCAGCTCTGTTAGAATCGTCGGATCATTCGGAGTTGTTATCAAGATATTCAAATACTTGCATGAGAAAGAGCTTGACCATGTGTGGAAACTCAAAATATTTCATTTCACATTTTTCAAAACTTGGTACTGAACAGATATTATTTTTTGTAATTCTAAGGTAGTGAAATAACATCCGTCTAAGGTGATGGTAAATGTACCTTGACCAAAGAGCGGTTGTTTGATTCGGGTATATCTGCATTGGCTGCACTAATAATAATAACAATAATAATAATATTAACAATAATAACAATAATAATAATAATAATAATAATAATAATAATAATAATAATAATAATAATAATAATAATAATAATAATAATAATGTATAACATTTATATAGCGCATTTCCAAAAAAGTAGCTCAATGCGCTTTAAATTGGAATACCCATTTTTCAAAAACTTTTCTTACTACTTCCTTTCTTCTCATGCAATATACATTAGTGCACACACACACACACACACACACACACACACACACACACACACACACACACACACACACACACACACAGAGAGAGAGAGAGAGAGAGAGAGAGAGAGAGAGAGAGAGAGAGAGAGAGAGAGAGAGAGAAAGAGAGAGAAAGAGAGAGAGAGAGGGAGAGACTATTTTCATCCAGACATAGGAACAGAACAACTATAATGAAAAATAACGTTAAAAGCTTATGAAGGATAGGCCTGTAGGAACAGAAAATGTTTAAGATGTCTTTTGAAGCTATTACGTGTTTTTATTTGTCTTAGTTTCATGGGTAATCTGTTCCACATAAATGGACCAAGATATGAGAAAGATCTCTCTCCATATGATTTGTATGATTTTACAGGTGTCACAAGTACGGTGTTATCGTTTGATGATCTTAGGTTTCTCCCTGGCTTATATATACTGATAAGTTCTTGTAGATAAAAAGGAGCAGTTTTATTTACACATTTGAAACACATGGCGCAGATTTTAAATATTATTCTTTCTTTTACAGTGAGCCAATGCAGTTCTTTTAATAATGGAGTGACATGGTCTCGTTTTTTAGATCTTGTTATCAGTCTAGCGGCATTGTTTTGAATTACTTGTAAACGATTCGAATATTTGTTGTTCAGACCTGCTAGGAGTGAGTTACAATAGTCTAATCTAGATAGGATAAGAGATGTTATCAGTGTTTTTGTGGTCTCTTCGTTTAAGTACTTTCGAACTAGGCCTATCCTTCTCAGCTGAAAATAAAGGGATTTGGACAGAGATCCTACAAACGAGCCCATTGATAAGTGGTGGTCAATATATACACCGAGATTCCTGACAACTTCTTTACCAGATGTCATATGCCCATATTAATCAAAGTTGACACTTTCCAGATCTTTATTTAATGGTGGACTTTTAAAAATAAGAATGATGTCTGTCTTTTCTTCGTTTAGTTTCAATTTGTTTACTGTCATTCACTTTTTAAGTTCATAAAAACTTTGTTTAGTGATAGAAATCATGTTTGGCAGATCTTGAATGGTGCCATTAACATACTTTTGGGAATAATCGGCAAAAAATGATAATTCAATCCATGATTTTGTAAAATGCTTGCTAAGGGCTGTGTATATAGTGTAAAGAGCACTGGTCCAAGAACGGACCCCTGTGGAACTCCATAATCGAGCCTGACTTGCTTTGAAAAGACATTTTTAATTTGCACTGACTGAACTCTTTCTAGTAAATATGACTTAAACCATGAAAGCACAGTACCCGGTAAGCCAAATGATTTATTACCAAGCCCTACGGTTTTTATCCCCTTATCGGAGACCACTTCTCTGAAAAAAATGGTGAAATGGTATGGGTAAAACGCCCCTATCAACACTATTAGGTTATTTAAGGGGCGGGACCTCCTAGTTTAACGTCCGTCTCCGATAGGACCGAGCTAAGTGGGAACCCACCACTTCTCTGTTGACGAATACTCGCCCGAGGAAAGATCTAAACACGGCCAAAGTCATGTCGTGTTTAGTTTTCTTTTCATAAGCCTATGCATTGAGGGTCTATTGAAAATAGAAAACACTAAAGCATTAGGCCTAGACCAAGGACTACTATACTCATCCACAGAAAAACAAAGCACACAAAGAAAAGGGAATACCCGCGCCACTGGGAGCACCGTGTTCCGCAGTGTTGCGTCACTTTGGATAACTGACGTCATCTTCTTGCCAACAGAGAACCCTCGGATTCTGCAGCTGCAGAGGCTGGTAAGTACATTTTGTATGCTAGAAATGTCACCTTTTTAGTTTTCTCAAAGCTGGAATAACGTACTTCTAAGATTCTTCGCATTGTTTGACTGAATCAAAGAGTATATAGAATGTAGCATAGGGCCTATAGAACTCTTAAGAAGAAGTATGACGAAAAGATGTGGGTGTCATGAAAGCATCCCTACCTCCCAACCCTCTCTCCCTTCCCGAATCCCAATCCGAAGCCCTTTGGAGGCTTTCTTAGTGCCCTGATAGACACATCAGTGTTGCACCATCCGTTCTGGTCCCATTTTCTTCAGTCTTCCACTTCCAGACTAATCAGACATTTGCTGGTGATGAATTTACTGTGAGAAAGTCTCTTAGGTTGTAAGATGTTAACCCAGAAAGGGACTAGATCTACATCTATAAAATCTACATCTATAATCTAGATCTAGATCTACATCTAAATCTAATATAGATCTAGAGGTTTCACACGCTTGCACTTTTAAGAGAATCTCTTTGAATTAAAACGCAAGGTTAGAATCTGATAAAAACACGTTCCTTAATAAGAGCAGAGACACGCCCCCTCACATATAAACAAACGTCTTTGCCAATAGGAAAACGGCCACCAACCATTTCAAAAGTTTTCGTGTCACGTGACCTCATACGGAATCTAGTTTAAAACGGAGATAACTCTAGATTCTATGTTCAAAACCTATTTTCAGCCTTGTCGAGCCGCTGAGGTCACTGAGTAAAGGCGTTGATAACTTTGAGCTACAGCATCGCCGACGAAGAAGCAGAATGGGACGTGGCCAACACAACAACAGTGTTCCACTGGAGCTGACGATGCCGAAATTAGTGGCCAGGTCAAGCCAGATGACAGATCCTGCTGTGGCCCTGACAGCACAGAACATGACATGTTCGAGAGAAATGCCAAGCCCGGACAGTCCTTTGGATCTGAGTACAACCAGTTTGCTGAGGTGAGTTGTCTTGAGATTCTCGATGGGCAATTGCATGTAGTCTAGGTTAGATATCTAGTCTAGATCTAGAATCTACTACCCAGGGGTCTAAAGGCGGACATTTATTCGTCATGTACACACATCGTTAACTAGCTGCCACTTCTCCTCTCTCTCTCTCTCTCTCTCTTTCTCTCTCTCTCTCTCTCTCTCTCTCTCTCTCTCTCTCTCTCTCTCTCTCTCTCTCTCTCTCTCTCTCTCTCTCTCTCTCTCTCTCTCTCTCTCTCTCTCTCTCTCTCTCCCTCTCTCTCCCTCTCTCTCTCTCTCTGTCTCTCACTATCTCAGCTTTTTTCTTTCTATCAATGCTGGTGTGTAGATCGGTGTGTGTGTGTGTGTGTGTGTGTGTGTGTGTGTGTGTGTGTGTGTGTGTGTGTGTGTGTGTGTGTGTGTGTGTGTGTGTGTGTGTGTACGCGCGTGCGCGCGTGTGCGCCAGATTTCTTTTGCTTCTGTTTTCAAATCTATAATTCAGGTGCCTTGTTAGATTACTAGTAAGTTTGTTCTGGTGCTCAGATATTCCAAGCAATGTTTCGATAAAGAAAAGAGAACACAAGAAATGTTTGGGTGGATCGGAGAAAGCTGCGACACGAGAGCTTCTATCGTAGGGCCTATGTACCCCCGTGTACATCTAGATATCCTCTACAAATGCTACACCTTATACCCAGTGCTCATTGACACGATCGGTTCGATTCGGTTTGCAAGCCAGATTGAGGAGCTTAATAGGGGATGCACATTAGCGCGATCTGGTCGAGTCGTCGGGTCGTGTTCTGGTGATTTCAGTGCACACTACAACCCCACCGCGATTGTACCTGATGACCTGGAAGTTAAAGTAGAGAAACCTTTAACCCCAATGGCTTCCAGGGCTCCTTTCCTCAGTTCTCTGTTGCAGTGCTGCGGCAGCCTGGAATCCAACAAATGGGTTGGATCAACATCAATAGCTTTCTATTATCAAAGATCGCTCATACCAAGATAGTTCACTCTTCCAAAAAAAAAAGTGTCCACGCCGCGATGTCTTTTTTTATGTTCGACGATAACCGTCCACTTGGTAGAAAAGAGGGGCAGATTTCTCCGTCCCTCGGGTGCCTCGGGCAGTATCCGCCTCGCTAAACCAGTGGGCACAAGGCTGGAGGAGTAGCTGAGAACAGATACCACCTTTGATCTTAGCCAAAAGGCCGAGAAGCATTGGTTCAGATGGCGCTGCGGTCTTTGTTTTGAAGCTCTCTTTCGTTTCTTCAGAAGAAGAATAGGAATAGCACAGTTTGTCAGTTTCGTTTTTATTGTTTTTCACACAAGTACGGTAACTCTGTTCGCAAAGAGGGTGCCACACGTGATTCAGGCTTGTTGTGATTGGCTGCAAACCAACCGACCGCGCGATTCGTAGGCCGGAAAACATACGCGTTTGTTTTTGCAGGTCACCGACCGAGTCGATCGGTTTGGGCTACGATGGCTGCTTTGAGCCCTAAATTTGACTAGTCCCGATAGTCAAATCGACCAGACCCGACCCGACCAGACCCGATCGCGCTAGTGGGCACCCCCTGTTAGCGGCTATCGCGGCACAAACTGATAGCATGACTCGTCGCCTAGAAAAAAACGTAGCAGTTTTCTGGCAACAAGTCGGGTGATCGGTTGGTGAACGTTTTGTATCATATCAGAGACCCGACTCCCCAATAGGCACTCTGTATTTGACACACTACACGTTTCATCAGACGCATCAACGGGGGTAATTTATTGGTTTTGCGCATCGATGCAGAATACCGTTGACAAACGTTTATATGAACTATGCAGTTTTAAGCCCCACCGTGACTTTTGGTTCACCTTCGACAGGTCGAGTTGGTGTTAAAATATCGACTTTGACGTACCAAGAATGAACAACCAGGTCCCGTGTCCACAAAATGAGTTTTTTAAAAAGGGATTTAAAAAATACTCTTAATGGGCTAAGGGTCTCAATTTTGTGAATGCTGACATGAAGTTGTCACCGGCTTTTTGAACCAAAATGAAGCCGTATACAAGCCCTATTTGTGGCCGGGTTGTTTTTTTTTGGGGGGTGAAGGAGGTAGACTTTTTTAAAAAGAAAGGTTTCATTTTTAACAGGATAGGGTTGCATAAATGAGGATTTCTCAAAATCTATGTCTTTCAATCTGTTTGAAACTTCGCATGTTTATTTGATAGTTTCCGGTGCTCCTGGCTGGAGGGATTTTTCTGAAGAACAAAAGATTATGCGGGTGAAATATTTGTAACACATGCACTACAAAATATGGAACAAGATTTTTCCCGGTTATGCTTCCTTCCACTCATGGACATATTAAAGGTTTACTAATCAAACCAAGCAGGATTCTCTCTGGGATTAGTTATTAAAATGATGTTAGTTAGTAATACTAACAGCAATTTCTAATGAAATTGTGTGAGACGTAAGTCAGTAATTTGATATATATATATATATATATATATATATATATATATATATATATATATATATATATATATATATATATGCTCACATCATTTTGGAGATCTGACACCCAAATCTAACCCCATGTGGCAACCAAATGGGATTGAAGAATACTTAGATGACCACTTTTGTAACCGAATTATCTCTCAAAACTGTATTTCAGCTGTACGTAAAATTTTTCTTTATCTCAGCATCTCTCATTAAGCTTTTGTTATAAATGGGCTATAAGAGAAATTCATTGGGCTGTATGTTGGCTCCTTCTAGGAACATTTTAATTTTAAACCACATTGCAATACTAAACGACTGATACCATAAGTGAGCTTTATAAGGAATGCATACGCAGAAACAAGAAATTAATTTCTCAGTAAGAGTTACATGTATATGAATCAGGATCAGTGTCGCATTTTCAACTTGATTAAAGGTAACATTTTAAAAAATAATAAAAACAAAAATGCACACACGAAGAAGAAAGGAAATAAAGAATAAAATCCGGATATTTGATCGTACAGCCCTACTCCAGACATCTCTCAGACTGGCTGAATCTTGTCCTCAGCAGAACACAAGACCAGACGATCTTTTCTGCTTCCAGCGACAGCGATGCAGATGATGACGAAAATTTCGAGGCTGGACATTCTCAAGAGGAGGTGCATTAACAAAATACTTTCGAGTTTTATTCTGATAGGTTTTGCTGTTATTGCTTTTGTTGTGAGTGTTGTCTCTGCGTTGTTATTGTTGTTGTTGCAGTTGTTGTTGTTGCTGCTGCTGTTGTTGTTCTTCTTCTCGTCGCTGTTGTCGTTGTTGTCGTTGTTGTTGCTGTTATTGCTGTTATCAATGTTCGTGCTGTTGATGATTGATGATGGTGATGTTTTTGTTTTCGTTTTCGCTGTTGTTTATATTGTTGTTGTTGTTGTTGTTGGTGGTGGTGGTGGTGGTGGTGCAACTGCGGCTGCGGCTGCTGCTGTTGGTCACTATGGTTGAGATGCTGGGGTTTGTGGTGGTGATGTTGTCGATAGTTTTTTTGGTCCTCGTCATCAATAAAATCTGGAATAGAGTCTACATGAAAGCAACATTCTGTCAGATTATCCGTTAGAAAAAAGATTTTTTTCAGGAATAATGCACCACAAAATTAGTGACGCTTCCCTCCCCCTTAATGTTAAATTGAAGACC